AAGTTCATGATTCAACAAAGAGAATTAAGTTTGTGCCTGCTCTTCTGTTTCCTACTTCTAGACTTGGGTCCTACCTACAAGTACACTAGGAAGCCCTTGTTCATAAGGTGAATTATACATCAATCTACACTAAAATCTGGGTGGAGAGAATAAATGATTACTCAAAACCAAGACCAACAATGTCCTTACTAGAAACATCCAGGTAGTATATTCAAGTACCTAGTGAATTGCTAACCTAGTTATAAGAAATTCAAAAAAATTAAGACTGATTTGATAAGATCTCACTCATCTTTAGTGAGCTTGTGCAGAAGTCATCACAAAATAATGGTAAAGCAAGCAGACTGTGTAAGAACTATTTGGAACCTTCTTCTGCTCTGTATTTATGTAGTACCTAGCATAAAGGTCTAGTCCACAGCCAGGTACCAATTCCTAGAATAATTCAGTAGCCAAATGTAAGCAGAAAAGACAAGCTATAAGAGAGCAAAATATCACTACTAAATTAGAAACACTGTATTTCCGTTTTCATTTCATAGTCACGTTTTGGAGATGCAAAGAGCTATTTTAGACAAACCATGCAGTACTATTTCACTGCGTTGGGTAACAGCCATTATGCAAAGCATGAACAAAAAGCTAAGACAAGTTTTTTAGCTAGTGCATACATGTTCAGCAGAAAGGCCTGAGCAAAGTGCTCTCAGATCATAATCTAAAAATCTGAGGGGGGGTGGGTTTTGTGAAAAAGCAAGATAAGCAGAGGAACATCAGTTTAAAGAGACTTCACAAAACTCGATACCATGTACAAAGTCTGTACATGGTATTGTGCTTGGGAGAACTGAAGCACTGTCTTCGGCTTTTTTAACAGGCTGTAAGAGTCCCAAGAAGGAAGAATGTAATCTCAAGTACAGTTCTGATATGTGCCTCTTAAAACCTAAAAATTAGGGCATAAAATGACTATAAAGTCTTCTGAAGTTTGAGAAGTCTACAGGAACCAACAGTTCAGTTCACTCAATAGAATCACATCTAAAAACAGGAATGGGCCAGGACATAATATAGGCTGATTGATTTAAATTAGTAATTATGTCCAAGTTTTAGTAAACAACTAAAACTGCAGGCCAAGAGACAACACTGTGCCTCATTTGTTTAAAATCAAAGGTTTCTTTTCAAAGAACTCAGGTTCACAGGTCTAATAAAAAAGGGACCTCACTTAAAGGTTAATGTTGCTTCACAGCAAAAGGGTTTCTCTCTCTACTCAGTTTTCTAATCTTGTTAGCTGTAGTTGGTAGAAGAAAATACTAGTAGGGGAAAAAATTGCTTAACACCTTGAAATATTCACAGGGGCACTAGTGTGAACAATATCTAGAAAAAAACCCATAATTTCTGCTTAGTTTTAGGAACTTAACAATGCAAATATCCTAAGACATAGGAAATCAAGATTTCAGAAAGGAAACGAGGTCTAGCCCAAAAATTAACCCCTGCATAGTCACAGAGAAGTTTAACAAACCCCAAATTCTTCAACATCTATTTTTTAAACAGATTTTAGCATTTAGGTAGATTGCAGCAACTTTCAGCTCAAAATTACCTCTTCACAAACTTGCTAGTCTTACTAGCACTTCAAATTCCAGGTGGAAACAATTGCAGTCACTATTCTAAAAACATCCAGAATGTGAAGTCTGACACATCCTCCTGTAATGTTTCTCTAAGTGATTTTTAAACCACTTTTAGCATTTAATAAAACTAAACTATCCTCACTGTACCATCTTCAAGCACTTCAAGTTAAGATGGCCATGCATTTCAGCCCTTTAACAAACACATCAGTCACCAGGGGACTGGAACCACCTGGACAACTGAGCCAAAAAATTAGTTTAAAAAAGATTACTGGGCAATTATTTGGAGAATTAATGCACGTAAAATACAATACTGCATGCCTGTTTTAGAGTTTTATATTGCAATAGTTTACATTTTCTTATGCTACATGTTTTTCTCAGTGCAAACTGTCCTCCCTTACAAGTACTGATCTCACATGCTCAATAGGCTGCATTCACAACTTGAGAACTATGACCTTACAGGAGGGTATGCACCCAGGACAGAGAGGATAAGGAAGACAAGACGGGGAAAAAACAGCAAAAAAATCCATCAGTCAAATTATCAGAAGTGATATAAAAGAGAAAGCTTCGACCTGTCTTTAGACCCCGAAAGCTGTTTCTATTTCAGTGTAACTAAAAATCTTAATTCTCCAGTAGGTCTTTGTATTTTGGACCTGCTCTGAAGAGCTGCCTTGCAGCCTGCTACCTTTGATACCATCAGGTAACCGATGTTAGACTGTTTCAGCTCTGCCAACTTTATTGAGAACAATGAAACAGAGGATCTTCTAGTGTACAGCTTCAAAGCACCCACAAGGTAACAATGCTATTCTGATTCTGGAAAAGACGCATCAGTTTCAGAACAAGACAGCCTTTTTCTCCAAGCTAAAATCTTCAGCAAATATTCCAAATCCGCTTCATCGTGTTATTTTCATTTCTGGATATTATTTAAAGTGCTTACTCTGCTTGTTTCATGTTTGAGCTTTGTTACAGTTCTAACAAGCAGCAAGTATAATGTATTTCTAATGTCACAGTCTTATTAGTAAAATGGCGGTTTTCATCCAGAAATAATTTAAAGACCTAAAGTAATATTCTGGAGGAAAATCTTGCTGTGTAAAGGAACCAAGACGGCACCAGTCTGACTCCACTGTCAGTGTGTACCATCAAGAAAGCCTTCCATGACCAGCAAGGACAGAATTGTAGGCAACCCTAAACATCTCACTAAGGAAGATTTCTTTAGTCAACTAGGTTTGTAAAGAGCATCACTGTGAAATGGCAAGTGAAAACCAGTTATGGAATTCCCAAAAGCCATAAACAAAGTCCCTAGTGCTTTTTATTCTTATTCAGGCATCTCAAACCTGTATGAACAGGCTGAGTATCCTAATGCTCTTTACAACAGCCACTGATTCTTCTGAAGTACCTGTCCACTCGTGGAACCAAACCAGTGGAATACATGATTTTTTTTTTTTTAAACTTTAAACATACCAGAAAAGTATGCTGTCAACACTGCTAATGATACTAGAGGAATAATTGGAAAGTTACTACCTGGCCATTCCATGTATTTTCCTTGGAAATTTTATGAATGTAGTTCTAAGTTTAAGTTCACAGAGCTGAGAACAGTTAGAAACAGCAGTCCATCAAGAAAAGGAAAATTACAAAATTAAACTTTCCTAGTGAGTATTAAATGAAAATTAGGAATGAAAAAGGGAAAGAAAAGTTACAGAAATACAAATGAGGCTCCTGGAAGCATACTTTTTTAACATGCATTTATCAATTTTCTTGACATACAATTTATTTTACCAGCTGATGATTCCCAGGCCTACCATGAAAGCCTCACAGGAACACAGAGGTAGAAAGCTGGTAACTCATTTTGAGATCATTTTCCCCTCACAATGAAATATATAAAGTTACTCATAATAAGCAACATTTACCCCTCACCCTACCCCTTAAACACCAGGTATATTTTTTAGCTCAGTTGAAAGGATCAGCGCTAAGAAGAAAAGCTCTATGTATATTCAGTATGTTGACCATTTACTTTTGTTAATTAATAAAATTATTCAGCCACACAGGAGGTTGCAGTCTTATCAACTCTTCTCTTTGTTACTGTGGCTATGTCCTTCCAGGCTGCCTCACCATAATTAATCAGTCAAAACAGGGGTGCCAAAACACTTTTATGGTGTAAAAATGTGTAGATCCATAATTCTAAAACAAACATATGTTAAATACAGAAAATCCAAAAGATGCAGACAATTGAATCAGCCTCTCATTTCCAGATAGCTAATTCTTTGCTAGTGTTTAGAAGAGGCACTATTTCACCAAAGATCAAGTGTGACAGCTTCTTCCCTGCAGTGTTTACTGTGAACACCCTGCGGACAAAGGATGCCAGTCTTCCAAGAAGGGCTGCAACATCCCCAGCTGTAAACATGGGTGCAAACGCACCACCCCTTTTACTTTTAAGGGCAAAATTTCTAAATCAGACTAGAAGGACTTCCAAAGGACTAGACTCCAATTCAGTATAAATCCATTGCCAGTTTACAGGCCTACAACTAATGTTTTAGGGCTACTGAAAGAAACCTCCCCTTTTTATCTCCAAACATAAAAATCCTATTAAAAATTTAATAAAAATGCAACTTTAGAAGGGTTCTTCCTACTCTAACGTAAATATCTGCTGTTCATCAGTTTTTCAGATTTGATGCCAAGGCGTTGGCCGAATTTATCAAATCAAATCAAATGTGATGCCAACTGATTTGATGCCAACACCTTAGATCTAATGACACAGAAATGTGCACCTCTTGAACTGACTGCTTCTGATAAGCATTCAGTGGAATTTACACTTTCATACAACTTTTGTTAAATAATTTACCTTGGAATAAAACTGGGGCTGCAATTACAACTATCTCTTGGGCACATTATTAAAAATAATAAAACATCAGTTTTACCTTCTCTTATGAGCACATTTGGTTGACCCTTCTGCTCCTAATGCTCTCATTTACTCACACTATGAAGACTGAGAAAACCTGAACTTTTTGGTGATGTGAAACACAGCATTATCAACTGTATTGCTGAAATTACTAGGCATGAGCATGTGTGCAAAACAGACAATTTTATAAGCAATGTGTAAACCCGGACTCTTCTATCCCATTGTGACTCTCAGTTTGTATACATCTATACTCAGATCAATCTTGTCCTATTAAAATAATTACCTCTGTAAGAACTATTGTTCATTAAAGCAGATTTGAACCAAAGATACTGGTATTTTTTTTATTTCTACACATGCTTATAAAATGTAACTGTTCCTCTTTCTTTCCCCCTCTCCCCCTCATCATCCCTCTGCTGCTTCAAAAGGTCCATCCTTTCGTTGCTCTTTTTCCCCCTCTCCTCCTCATCCTTTCCTTGCTGGTTCTTGGCCTTCTTGGTCCTTACCTCGCTCATTTTCCCTCTTCTCATCTTCCCTGCGCCAATTCATAGCGTCCACATTCTTTCGTCGTTCTCTCTCATCCTGTCTCCACCGCTTCTTGATATCTTTGTCCTTAACTTGCTCATTTTCTCTCCTCTTCTCATCATCCCTGTGCCATTTTATTGTGTCTGCATTTTTCTGCGGCTCCACGCTTCTTTTGAGATAGTCTTGTCGCCTCCTCCTCTTTTTTAACATATCCCTTTCCCTGGCACGAGCCTGCTTTTCTTTCTGGGAAAGAAAAGCTTTACGGGGCATCATGAGCTGCTGCTGTACCTGTAATAATATCGTATCCATGGAATAATATACTATACATGCACTCAGTCAGGCACCAACAACTCTCATTTGGAGCTGAATACTTAAAATAGTAAGCCAAGAAAATTTACTGCTGCTTCTCTTTCCTTCATAACCCTCTGCTAGCTCCGTATTAGATAATGACAGGCAAGTCGCTGCGTTCAGCTCCGGGCACAACACCTAACTGGCACCTCTGCAGCTGGCCCACATCCAACATTGAAAAGTCAACCCCCTAAAATCCCGGGCCTAAGCAGTAAGATTTCTTTCCCCTCCCCCTTACAACTCCTCCCACAGAGGTTTTAGCAGCCACTTAGCCATTGCTACTTGGCATTGAAGGAACAGGCTGATAGGAGAGTTGTGAAGGAAACTTGTGAATGTTCAAACCTTAGTTTCTTCTGTTAGTGGAGATCTACATTTAATAAAACTTATTTATTTTTTCAGACCTCCATCTCTACCAAATTTGGTTGAAAATGGCCAACTTTTTTTCTTGGCTGGGAGGAGGGAGAGAAGATTAGGAGACAAGCCACAATCTGAAAAATCATATAAGCTTTTTTTCCTTGGGAAACCTGGCCAAAACATTTAACTGCAGTTAACGAAATAAGTCCTGACTCATCTACTCAAAACTTCCTCCAAGTATGTTATGTCTTGCTATTCACAAGAACAAAGGAAAAAAGAATGTGACTATTTCCTTGGAGTTTCTGCTGATAAATAGGGGTGTTGTTTTTTTGTTTTATTTTTACAGAGGTGTCAATGAAGACTACCTTTTAACAAATTGTTCTACTTGGTCATTTCTCTGTAGTCATCCAACACATTCACATCTTTAAATTTATTGGTGTTAACATCTGCATTTTGAAATAATGGAAAACAAAACAGACCACAGAAAGAATTTACTCTATTGCTATTATCCTTTAAATACTTTTCTGTAGGCATTGAGCAACGGTTCAGAAACATCAAACTGCAGTTGTGGCCCAGGTTTGGAGTTTTTGGTTTGGTTTTGAATTTTTGTTTAGAAGAGTTTTGCAGAGGTCTAATAAAAATGAAAACTGCAGAAAGGACAAAATTACTAGATTAGAATACTTAAGCAAAGCCTAAAACAAAATGAAACAAATGTACTTTTAAAATTTAGCTACCTTATGGAAAGCACTTGTTCCCAGCATGCAATACTCCATCTTTTTCCTACAGAAAAAGCAATGTTTCAAACCCTTATTCTAAAAGCTGTTCCTTTTCCCTACATGATACACCGCCCCACACACTTAAACCCACTGCTCTAGTCCATTGGCTTTGTTAAATACGTATCATGATCCCATGGTTTTCATTCCAATAATTCAACCCCAAATTCTTAATATCCATAATAATACCAAAAGGGAAGGGCTGCAGCAGAGTGAAACAGCATAATCAAAAAAATGCATGCAGTTTGGTAACAAGTTAGTGCATAAAATTCAGATTATGCTAAAAATTACTTCATTAAAACGTGTGGGATAGCTCTCTACTAGACAGCCTGGTTTTATTATTAAGTATTTCTCAGTAAGAGTTAGTTTTAAATTCAGAAACCAATGAGAATCCAGTATCAACATCATCAGTGCAACCTAGACACTGTAAATCTTTAAAGTAATTTCTCTATTGGCTGTGTGCCAGTACCAGATTACTGTTGTTTTCTAGAGCAAACTTAACTTATTAACTTTTTTAATGGACATTATAATTTTAACAGTAACCCAATTTTATTCCAATAACAATAGCACAAGTAAAATTTAAATCATATTTCATGCAAATGATTCTTTTCCCTCCCACCCCCAGACAAGTACCAACATTTAAAATCTGTCATTTAAAATAAACTCTTTTGGGACTAATGGTTATATTTTCTTTCATTTGTGGATTTTTTTTCTGTTTTATTGTTGGGTATTTTTTCCCCTTTGGCTTTATCTTTTCACCGTTGTTAACTACAGGATTCCTCCCTCCCCTCTCTTTATACATATCCCAACCCACTTTGACAGACCAATTTATAGACAAATGATAGAAAATATCTTAATGAAAACCATTTCAGTTAAATTTCTAAAATGAAACATTTCAATTGAGATTCAAATAAGAAATGTCAGATTCTAAGGAATAACTTAAAGGGACATCCAACTTAAATTATCTTTGAACTTCCATATCACAAGTCACAGGCTTTTCCACAGTTCATTTCAGCGTAAGAGTACTTCAGGCAGTCTGGTCACTTCTGCAGTGAAAAATCATCTTTCACTTTTGCCTCTGTTGGTTTTAATAAACCAAAAGAGGGGTGAAAATTTTAAGCTAGGAAACTAATTAATATGCAGTAAAGCTGCCAGACTGATTGAGCTCAAAGCCGTCCCCCCTTCCCCCGTTTTTCTGTAGTTCAAGTTGGTGTTCCTTTAAGTTCAAAATGTCCAAACATCAGAAGTAAACAGTCAGAACTATCCTTTCAACTATTTTTGCCCATACTTTTACAAAAGAACATCTTAACGCTTCCCAATCTATTCAGTACATATTATGAGGCATTTACCTCCAAAATTAATGGTGCTTGGGCGTCTCAGACTCATTGGACAAGTTTCATGCAAAAGCCTCCAAAAATAATTCTCCTTCCAGAACGCCCACCTCAGCGATTATATTACACCTACTGTGTGAGGCCAAAGCCCGGACATAGAAGAAGGATCATATCCTGCTGTACAAAACAAAGTGTTAAAGACAAGAGATAAGAAATGTAATAAGGGCAGTCTTACATTTATAATGTACATTTCATTGCGAAGGACTCCAGAGCTAATTATAAACCACATTTACTGTACCTTTACTGACCCGGAGCTACTGTAGCATGCACTCCAGCAAGTTAACAGTGCTGCAGGAAGTTTTAGCAGGTTTGTGGCTTAAACAATAAATTCCGATGGGTGATGCTACCTGAGGAATGTTTTAGTGTTCAAATTTCAAATAAATTACCCAATTCAGAAATCCAGCAGGATACAGTGAGGATTGCTCCCATTCACACTTGATACAACCTTTCCTCTGAACTGTTTAGGACCTCAGTTTACACTTCATCTGAGCTATCAGTACCAGCAGCATAGCTATACTCTGTGCAGATGAGGTAAACTTAGTAAAATACCAACAGCACTTCCTTGTACAGGTGTTTTTTCCTAGAAAGTTCCCATACAAACATTCCCACCTTAAATTACAAGACTATGGCAGATCAAACAGGTGACACTGCTGTCAGCCAGGACCCTAGGGATAAACATTCATTTGGGAAGTGTTCAGATTAAAGTGTTCAGTCACAATGCTGCTAGGAGGATGTGAAGTAAACTGTTTTGGGTAATGACATGTAAATGATTATGCTTCTGTAGGAAGACTGATACCTCTTCAACTCACATCACCCATGGACAGAAACTCAGTCTTGAACAGACTGGAAACACAAGACATAACATTAGTATCACAGAGTCTGGAACAACCAAATCTAGTTTAGAAAAGCAAAATTTGTTGAGCCATAATTACTCTTCCAACTAATAATGGCTTTTACTGTTTAAAATTGTTAGATCTCAATCTCTGTTGATTATTCAAACAGAACATCGACAGTTTAAAGTACAGATTTTTTTTTTTTGAGCAAATATGATTTCACCAGAAGATACTAAAATGTTCTAAGAAATTTAAAAAGTCAAAATTCTTAAAACACTTCACAGTGTGGCAAAACTGAGTATTACATATGCTCTAACAAGACCACTAGCCACCTCTTCAATAATGGGTTATTTTGATTCATAATGGATTATTTTCTAACTAGGAAGTAAAATTTGTGTCCCTGTATTTCTACTGAGTCCAAATTACCTCTCTCCCACTGACTCCTTGCAGAACGCACACTTCTGGATGAGGACCGATCTGCCCAGAGCAGACCAGTGACAATTAGCTATCAGTCTGAAGATACAAACACTGAGCACAGAGAAACACTTCATCCCATACTGGGCCTCCCGAAGACTGAGTATCATTTCCCTACATTATGTTGCTGATGAGAACCACCAAGCATCTGGCATTTTTCTGACTTTATATAATCCAAAATTCTTTTATTTTAGCCCTTATTTTGCTAGTATTTTAAGTTGAAGTTCTTGGTTTACACATAACAGTACAACATAGTAGTATGCATCAGAGCCGACACAGCAGCTGTTATGCTCCTGGACAAAATGAAACAAGACTGTTAGTTTCTTGATACTGTGTGCTTTTTATCTCCCTATTCCAACTGCATTTAAAATTTGGTCTACTTTGAACAATTTACCCTGCTAACTGCATTTAATAGCATGCTCTAAAAAGCCAGACATGTAATGGATTTGAAAAGAAGGCTGTGAGTGCAACACTGAGTGAATCTGTTAAAATACAAGAAAATTAACCTATGGTTCCCACAGCAATAGAAAAGCAGCTTCCTCGTGTATTCAGGTTAAACAATGCTATATAGTATGATGGCATATAACACACTATATTCAAGAGGACAATGGATGGCCTGTCCCTGCAGCAATGCAGAGGCTGGGACTGTGGGACCTGACAATTCCAGGACAGCTGAGCAAAGAACTGCGATAGTCAGGAAGCAGAAAGGTATCTCAGGGAAGAGTGACCAAATCAAAAATACCAGGAGCAGAAATATCAGGGAGAACAGAGAAGTTGGAAGAGCTGAAAACTACCGAAAACTTCCCTGTAAAGGTAAGAGTTACAATTACATATCTCCTCTCCCTGCACAGTCAATAAAGAGTCCACTCCCAACATGTCTATCACTGGCTTACATTAAGCATTTTTACTTTATTCTGTTGGACTCATCTCTTTCCTCCTTATTTAAGCATTTCTGGCCTAGTTTTCAGAGGGCTGTGCACCCACATCTCCCCTGAAGGTAATGAGATTTGCAGTTCAACAGCACATCTGAAATGCCAGACAACTAAGAGCTCATTTTTCAAGTCCGCTATAATCCTAGGATGGAGGCTGTTTTGTAACACCCTGTGCTCTATTCTCATGGCAACATTTTAAATAGACAGCACCTCCTCAGCCTTATCGGCTGAACCATCAGCAACACGGAGCTCCTGCCCATGTAACATGATGGTCTTCAGCTAACTTTGGTCTAACAAACACCTCTCAACTCCAGCCAGATAATTCTGTGTGCACAGCTGCCATGTTAGACCCAGCACTTAAATTCAACCTTAAGCTAGCACATCTGTGAGCACAAGCTCCCAAGCACTTTAACTTGTTGCTATATCCAAGGTTCTTTAACTTGTGTCTATATCCAAAAGGCACATTAAAAAGATACAAAGTAAACAGAAATCTCAAATCAAACCATCTAGAAAACCTGTCATGTTGCTTTAAAACTAAGATTATTGGAACTGGAGAAAATGGACAAATGTTATTTTTCTATCTGGTCAAAGCATTGTAAAACTTTTGCAGCACTGTGCACATGCAACCACTTCATCTCCCCCTCACAGTCAAACAGTCTACTTCTTCAAAGTCCCTTTGTCAAAAAAAGAATTTTAAAAAAATTTAAAATCACTTCATATATTAGATCAGCTACCTCCAAAAAGATTTCAAGTTGTGTGTCAAACAAAAAGGATCGTTTCACACCACTTCTCTGGACATCCCGTGTAAATACTGCTTCAGGAGAGGAGGTAAGTCCATCTAAAACATGGTACTAAAAAAACCCACTTAAAATACTTTGGAGGAAATTCTTAGGCTAAAAACCTTAACATGCTTTATCAGTAGTTATATGCCATTTTCAGCAAGGGCTTATGAAACTGTTTTAATCTCTTTTTTTCTGGAGCTTACTGTCTAGCTTCAGCTTGGTGACTCTTGTACTAAGAATTCCAACTTCCCATCACAGGAAAAACTTCTACGTATTTCCAGTGAAAGGAATCAGTAAGGCTGATATGTTTTACTCTCCATTCATTTTTTAATTAAAGGTTAAAAAAGTATCTTCTGCAGTCCAGCAGACAGGGATCTTCTAAGTCATTCACACACATCTCATTCTTGCTCGATTTCTGGAATTTTCCACTGGTGCCAGAAGCTCCATCTGGTGGGTGTGTACACTAACTGCAAAACTGGAAGGGAATTAACTATTTCCTTATCAACTTTTTGTTTAGTAGTAAAAGTTCTGTATGCTGTGTAATTTCTATGTCCCAATATAAAATGCAAAACGGTCAAATTCGGATTGCTCTGGGAACCACAACTCCTTATTTCTATTCTTGATCACTAATTGCTACCTCACACTCTGCTGGGAATTTCTGATGGGTTTTCTTATTTTGATGTCATGGGCTAATGTATGTTAAAGAATGCTGTTAGCTAAATTTGAATGTTTTCTGAAGAAGGATCTTTTGAACACACATGATAAACACATCAATTCTGGCCATCTCAACTGCATTCTGAAAAGCAGTTTTAAATTGCATCCATTCTCTAGGGCATGCTATACTTCAGTGCATACAAAAATTTAAATTAAGAGGCACTAGCAGCTCACGAAGTAGGCTTACACACCTACTGCCATCTTAAATAATATCTTTTGTGGCTGTTCAAGATCTCCAAAGATAAATGTTTATATGTATCCACACATGTACAGTGCAATCAATATGAAATACACATACTCAGTATGACAGCCTTGCTTGTTTAGGGCTATTTCTTAAAAGATTTCAGTTTGAAATGTAATAAAGCCTGCACATCTTGCTGAAATTTGAAATCGAGACTGGAGATCATTGAAGCACGAAGGATATTATTTGCTTACACCATGATATCCACACTTCAGTGATCAGGAAAAAAGACTGCATGAATATGCTCTACAATTCCAAAATAATCCTCATCTAGATTGTAGCTAAGCATGAACAATCCCAGAATAAAAATTATTTTGGAAATAAAAGCACGTTTCATGAATTAGCAGCTACCATTTAAATCAAGAATCATCTTGAAATATTCAATCCAAAGCTCACAAAAACATCTGTATAATTAAACAAAGCGGCAAAACGTACAAGCATAAAGCATGTAATCGATATACACATAATTTATGATTGGATTGCACTGATTGTGAAACTGCAATCAGATGAGACTGCAACTGAAAAATGGGAGTCCTGTCTTCTCTGTGTCATGTTTTCCTGACATCACCCTCTGTCAACAGCCAGAGCAGAGACCTGATCCAAGTGAACACGAGTGTTTTTCAGACAGAGCAGTTCCTTCACTCACCCAAACAGAAATGCTAGGACTCGTACAAATAAGGTGGCAGGAAACGTGGCTCATGCCACCCCTTCCAGTGGCAGCACAGACACAGATATATTTAAACCAATAGTGAAACTGCATCCCTTAGTGTGTCCTAACTAGTAAAATGCATTGCTTGCATGCTGGTATAAGTGGCAGAACAAATCAACGAACAAAAGAGAGCATACAAATACTTTTACAAGCTCATCCAAAACCCTGCCAATACATGCTTTCTCAGATAGTAGATATATTAGATATTGAAGGGATCTCACCAACTGGCTAGCATCTGAGTATTTAAAGTGTAAAAATAGTCAGTGAAGTAGGCTGATGCTAATTGTTTTTCCTTTGCCTTACCACTTCACACGCTATGCACAAATGATGGCATTACACAATTGGGTAAAGTCTGTAAACAAGAGCTTAAAATCAGTCTTACCACTTCTTACCTCTTTCCCTTTCTGTCTAAGCATAGCTCCCAAGTGTTCCAATCCCTGACTACATTCCAGCGTTAATCCACCTCAGCTACTGCTGTCTTCAGTCTGACTCAGGAACCTTCGATATTCAAAAGGCTTCATAGCAGCAGCAGCAGGAATCGGGAAACAAAAACAAAACAAGATAAAAAACTTAAGTTTGACTTTTCGGGGGGAAAAAACACTTTTAAACAATTGTTTTGCCTACTTAGATTTCAAGAGACATTTTGCCCCCTTACTGTTGCTGCTATGAATCCGCATCACTGACAACTTCTTTGGCCCAGCTGCAGCACAAGATAAGAACTATCAGATCCAGAGTCACATCAGAAAGCAATATACAGAAGAGGTAAAAAGGGGTGAAAGAAAGAATGCCTGAAGGCTGAAGCCTGAAAGAGAGGAGCTGGGGATAGGGAAGACACATCGAACGGTGTAGCCAGGCTTGAGAGCAGGCCCTTTTCCTACATTTAAATGACTGGATAAGCTGAAGTGGACAGGCTGTTTACACAGTTATTTAGTTTCTATTCCATGTAAATGGTTTTAGATACAACTCCCAAAGTAGATCTTAAATGAAACATTCTGCCACATTATCTGGATAGTCAAGAACCTGCATGTGTGATGTGTTCATAGAGACCCAACAGCCAGTATCAGCTTTCATCCAAGTCATCTTTAATACCACCTTAAAAAAAAGAAAAAAGGATATAAATGGTGGTAACTGAAAGTGACTCACTGCTGAAAAAATGGTATTTATTCCATTCTTATTCAAAACCATCAACCGTCATACGCATTCAAAAGCACTAATGCGAAATAAGAGTGAGACACTAAATTCAAGCCTCATGTTTGCCTTTCAACATCAGCTAGCTACAGTGAAGCTCTGAACAATGTAGTTTTCTCCTTGAGGCATATGGCCCTCAGGTAGAGAAATATGAGTTACACCCTCTCTAAAAATGTCTTTATTCAAATCTAGAACGTGTATTCAGTTTTTATAACAGATCTAAGTACTTCCTGAAAGCTCAAAATGAACAGGTCAAGTTGGCCATCCTGACTAGAAAAGCAAGGGCCTTCTTCCCAAAAAGTGTCAGGTGATCAAAACAAACCTTCTACATATACAGGAAGTATAAGATTAAAAAAAAACAACAAACCCAAACCAACCCTAAATTAACATAACCAGGAGTTCTTTATTCTTACAATGTGTATACAAGCATTTACATCACATTATCCTTAGACCAGCACCTTTTACTCTCATCTCCATTGCTTATACTATTATTAGGAAACATACACTTGTATAAACATATTTATTTATATGAGCAGAACTACCTCCACATTAACAATTACACTGTTTCAATTATGTGAATACCATTACAATTATGTTAATAAAAACCCATACCCTATATAAAAATCTAAGCATAGAGCAGGTGTTAATTTAATATAATTAAAAATACCGTAATGCTTGTTTAGATTCAGGCCAACAGAGTCAGCTGTTATCCTTTTTAAACAAGCATGTTACATGCATGTTAAAAAAAAAATCCCAGCCAACACAGCATTATTAATATATAAACTCAGCAGAACTAATAACTTAAAAAATGCTCCATCTTTGCCCATGTTGCTAAAGCAAATCAAATGACACCTGTGGACCACACTAATCAGCTGATCAATCGCAGCCCTATAAGCTAGTCACTGCCTCCCTCCTGGCAGCCATGTCCTACATACAGACTTTACACTATGATCTTCATCATATCTGATGCCGTTTTGTTTGTTCCCAATGTATAAAATTTTGTCTCTCTCAATCCAACTTCAAGTAGTGAAGCAAAGATAACTTCCCCTTTCTGAAAAAAAACCAACCCCAAACCAAAAGCACCACACAACCCCCCCCCAATTAAATTTCCTATCGAGCTGCTAAATCTTATTTGCAGCCATCTCAAAATAAACACATTAACACCTGAGCACTGTCTTTGTTCCCACAGAATCATTTGTTCCAAATTCCTTCTTCACATTAATGAAATCAGCTGCCATCTTAATAAAAAGTTATAAAATACACATTTGGACTATATGACTTTTGACTACTGATAAGATTCTGATACGTTTATGTATTCCAGGAATGCTACTTCAAATTTTAATATTTACTTTCATTATTTACTATTATTATAGAGTGGTAAAGCTAGGATGGGAATAATCATCTATTATTCACTCCACAGTGTGTCAGAAGCACAACTTACCTTCCACAGAAAATTTGTATGTGCATTCATTTAGAATTTAATAGTGATTTCAGTAACTGTAGAATTCACCTAACAAATGATACTTTATACTATTAAAGCTTAATTAAAATGCTGTTGTAAGTGACACATACCAATTCTGAAAATGCTAATGGGCATCTTCTGACAACTGGTAACTTCTATCCTACGTATACAGAAAAAAATTTAGTTATTCATCTCATCCTGAAGAACACATACAGTCTTCCTAGATGTTTTGTTTATGCAGCTGATGTTTAACACTGTAGGGTACGAACTTTCCAAACAGTCAGGAAGTTCCTCTCCTGTGAAGGTTCATCATTCCTAAGCACTCTGAGCAGCACCACTTATCTGTCTCACCTACAGTAAAAAAAACACCTTTCACCTTCCCCACCCCTTGCATATACAAACAACATCCCCTCCTAAAACTTAACACAAGTGATCTTACAAGCTCTTAACGACTGTAAAGCTCTAGTAGTTCCACACAATATACTTTTAAGCATGAACAGTAGTAACTGAAAGAGATGCTTTCTGTAAACCTGTCTAATGGACCATCAATTCAGGTAAAAAAAAAAAAAAAAAAATGATGGGGCACTAAAAAGATATGTTTACAGTGATCTCAGAGACTTGTCCCCAAACACTGAAAGCATCTAATTTCTATTAGACACCAACAAGTAATTTAAAAAAAGTTAAGTAAGAATTAATATTAATTTTAGTAAAGGGCAGCTTACCATTAAAAAAAAAATAGTACAAAATCATTTAGCTTAGTATTATTTTTGGATTACTCATTTTGTGTCAAAAAGGAACCTATTTTGATGAAGTTTATTTAAATATTTGCTGCAATAATCTTCAGGAAAGGTAACAATCAGACTACAACCAATCAGCCTCAAGTGCAAATTTATTAACAATAGGATGTTTCTCTTCTGTTGTCTCTTTTTAATGTTTTAAGATTTCAACATGTATCACGGTAGATGTTGATCTGCTGCCCAACATCTGCAAATGCACACCTAAAAAGGAACTAAGCTTTGGTTTTGTTCTTAGAAGAAAAAAGTTCTCCCTTTTTTTATACAGGGTGATCTATCTTTCTCACCTAGGAAGATGGCAACTTGTAATTATTACAGTTACCAGAGTCCCCAAGTTGAAGTTTTTCCAAGTAGCTGAGACCCTGCAAGAGGAAACAACGCTGGTGGCCTGAGACACATACAGGCTGTACTATACAGGAGGCAGCTAAGGTTGGTCCATTCCTACCCTGACAGGTAAGAATCGTGTCTCCATTAGCTCACACCTTGTACCTCCGAACAGAAATAGAAAATAGCAGTAAAAACAGAGATACAGCTAGTAAAAACCACCTTAGAAAAGGGAATTTCTCTAAAAGGAATAGGAATTTCTCTAAAGGGAACGAAAACCTTTTTCACACCTACCAAACAGCTTAAATATACCCAATAAACAAAGAATATCAAAACGTCAAAGCGCCCGGTTACCGGGACTCTCCCTGTGGCCCCAGACAAAGCATTCGGTGCTTTAACCAACGCCTCACACTGTAAGTTTGCACCGCTGCAGCCATGCGCTCACAATGTGCGAAAAAAGCCATGGAAGTTCATACCGCAAACGGCAGGGCAACCAAGTTTTGAGACAATCACGAACATCCTCCACAGAACCTCGCAAAACCGCCCCAAATCCTCCATGTGCTCCAGGCCCCCCCCTTAACCTCCCGCTCTCCCAGCGCGGGCTCCGCCACCCCC